CATGCTCCTGCTGCAGCGCTGGCGTCATTCTTTCCAATGCCATGCCACGGCATGTTTTTCGGTCCTTCCAAAGAAGTCTCAACATCTGGAAAATGGTCCGCCGAATGAACTACCAGAAATGATTGCACATTCGGTGCCTGTTCTTTGAGTTTTGGGGTCGCAGAGCCCCCCCCCACTTTGGGGCGTCGCCACGCCATGCTATGTCATGTCGCGCGTGAATATTAAACACCATGCTATGACATGTAATGCTATGCCATGCTACGACATCCGATCTTGCGAATAGAGAGAGGAGATCTACGCCATGGTCAGGGATGGGAGGGAGGAGTATGGCGTCAGATATGAAGCGAGCGCACATAGCTTGTACCCCTCCCCCTCCCCCCTCCCCTGGACCTGGACGGGGAGGGGGCGGAGGTGTCAGAGTGGCCAAGATATCCCAAGATGGCTCCAATAGGGCCTCAGATGCTCTAGGATGGCCTCCAAGATGCCTCAAGATACAGCAAGATCGTTCGAGATGGGTTCCAGCATGCTCCAAGAGGCCTTCAAAAACCCCTCCAAGGCGGCTCAAAGTGCTCTCGGAGCTCCCTCGCGACCCCCCCAAGAAGCCAACATCCTTCAAACACCTAGGGCAAATCAATGACTTTTGCCTTCTTGCCTTTTCGCTTCTGATGAGCTTTTGAGGCCTTAAGATTTCCCCATGATGGCCCAAGAGAGCTTCACTAGGGGCACTAGAGGCCCCAAAGACGGCTCAAATACCGCCCAAGAGCACCCCAAGAGGGGACCAAGAGCGCCCCAAGAGGCTATTTTGATGGTCGCAGAGGGGGGGAGGCAAACCGAGGGCCCCACCCTCCTCTGATCGATGGCCTCCAAGATGGCCCCAGGAGTCCTCCGAAGCTCCCATGAGAGCCCCAAGAGAGCCCCAGGAGGGCCCCATGAGGGCCCCATGAGGGCCCCAAGGCGCTCCAAAAGAGCTCCAAGAGGACCCCAAAACCTCCCAAAGAGCCCCAAGAGGGCCCCCAAATGCCCCAAAAGAGCTCCAAGAGGACCCCAATATCCCCCAATACAGCCCCGTAGCTCCAAGAAATTCTCCGATGCTGCAAGATAGCCTCTAGGATGGCTCAACACCCTTCTTCCTCTCCTCTCCTTGCACGCTCTGTTTCACTTTATGTGTCTCTTCTTCCGTTTCCCGTCAGCTCTTTTGGGCAGGGCTCCTGAATGGGCTGGTGGGGATTCGCGAAGCATTAGCAAGTTTCCTAAGGTTTTTGAGTGATGTTGGCGTTCTCGCCGGTTCGGCTTTCCGACGCTCCAGGACGGCCCAAGAGGCCCCCAAGATCACCCCAAGACGGCCCAAGAGGCCTTCAAGAGGGCGCCAAGACGGCCTAAGATTGCCCCATGACGGCCCAAGAGGCGCCCAAGACTGCCCAAGAGGGCCCCAAGACGGCCCCACAAGGGGCCCAAGAGAGGGAACACGAACCGAACATCGGAGCCTTCCGCCCCAAGAGGCCCCCTGGAGGCTCCAAGAGGCCCCAAAACGGCCCCAAGAGGCTTCAAACCTGCCTCCAAGAGGAACCCGAGAGGCCCCCCCACACGAGATCGTAACGAATAGGCTTTCCACCCACCACCCAGGCACGGAGGCCGGACGGGCAGAAGGCCATTACATACGGCCAACCTGTTTAACTTGATAATGGCGGTTAATATGTGAGGTCAGAACTTACGGCTAATGCTGCAAATTCGTAATTACCGTGTACTGTGCACTTCGTACATCTGAAACTGTACACCCACTGCTATGTAAATACATGCGTTGACGGTGTGGTTACGGTTTACCGTGGCCGCCAGCGAGACCTCAACACTACGACCACGCGTGGTCACGAAGCAGGGGAGATCCCCCCAAGACGGTCGCAAAGACCACTGGAGCTCCCGCTTTCGACGGGATGACGGGAGGGAAGAGGGGGGAGAGGAGACGGAAAAGGAGAAGGGGGAGGGGACGAGAGGGAGGAGGAAGAAGAGGAGGATGAGGAGGAGGAAGAGGAGGAAGAGGAGAAGGAGGAGGAGGAGGAGGAGGAGGAAACAGAGGAGGAGGAGGATAAGGCGGGGAGGAGGAGGAGGAGGAGGAAGAGGAGGAGGAGGAGGAGGAGGATGAGGAGGAGGAGGAGGAGAGGAGGAGGAAAGGGAGGATGAGGAGGAGGAGGAAGAGAAGGAGAGGAGAAGGAGGAGGAGGAGGAGGAGGAGGGGGAGGAGGAGGAGGAGGAAGAGGAGGAGAACGAGGAGGAGGAGGAGAGGAGAAAGGGAGGGGGGAGGAGGAGGAGGAGGAGGAGGAGGAGAGGAGAGGAGGAGGAGGAGGAAAAGGAGGAGGAGGAGGAGGAGGAGGAGGAGAGGAGGAGGAGGAGGAGGAGGAGGAGGAGAGAGGAGGAAGAAGGAGGAGGAGGAGGGAGGAGGAGGAGGAGGAAGAGAGAGGAGAGGAAGGAGGAGGAGGAGGAGGAGGAGGAGGAGAAGGAGGAGAGGAGGAGGGGAGGAGGAGGAGGAGGAGGAGGAGGACGAGGAGGAGGAAAAGGAGGAGGAGGAGGGGAAAGAGGAGGGAGGAGGAGGAGGAGGAAGAGGCGGACGAGGAGGAGGAGGAGGAGGGAGGAGGAGGAGGAGGAGGAGGAAAGGGAGGAGGAGGAGGAGGAGGAGGAGGAGGAGGAGGAGGACGAGGAGGTGGAGGAGGACCAGGAGGTGGGGGAGGAGAAGGAGGGGGCAAACTGACGAGGAGGAGGGGAGGAGGAGGAGGAGGAGGAGGAGGAGGAGGAGGAGGAGGATGACAAGGAGAGGGGGAACAGGAACGAGGAGTGGCATAAGGGGCGGGGCGGCACTGCAAGGCGGCGTTGGCGGCCCCCGGCCGACCCCCCCACGATGCACGCCCGGTGACGCCACGCGCGCGCGCGTGACATACTCAAGACAGACGAGGACGAAGCGTTGCTGCGCCCATCGGCCCGGAGCCCTGCGCGAAAGAGTCGAACTGGACACCTCGGAGGGGGGAAGGGGAGGGCGGCAGCTCACGGCGGCTGCCAGAGCCGCCGCCCGAAGCGGCGCAGACGCCCCACGAAGGCTCCCCGGCGGGGCCAGGAACAGCAGCAGCTGATGGAAGATGGTGGCGAGGGCGACGGGCAGAAGGGAAGGGGAGGAGGGGGGAGGGAGAGGAGGGGCGGAGAAAGTGGAGGAGGAGGAGGAGGGGCGAAAGAGGAAGGCGAAGGAGAGGATGAGCAAGGATGCAGGAGGAAAGAGGAGGGGGAGGAGGAGGAGGAGGAGGAGGAGGAGGAGGAGGAGGAGGAGGAGAGGAAGGAGGAGGAGAAAAGAGAGAGGAGGCGCGGGGCCTCGCGGCCTCGGAGTCCCACGCCGCCCTCGCGCGCCTTGGCGCCCGCGCGAGGCCCGCTGCTGGCCAGGGCGCAGGCCGAAACCCCTCCACTGGAAAGGGCGCCCCCCGTCCGCCTTCAGAGGCCGCCCTTCGCCACGCCCTGCTCCCAATCACTCCTCCTCCTCCTCTTCCTCCTTTTCCTCCTCCTCCTCCTCCTCCTCCCTGCCTCCCTGCCGCCCTGCCTCCCTGCCTCCCTGCCTCCCTGCCTCCCTGCCCCCCTCCCTCCCTCCCTCCTTCCTTCCCTCTTTCCCTCTTCCTCCTCCTCCTTCTCGTTCGTTCGCGGCTTTCGGGCGGAGAGTGGAAGCCCGATCACAGAGGGTGGACGGCAAAAAGAAATGGATGATGAGAGAGAGAGAGAGAAAGAAAGAAAGAAAGAGGGAGAGATAGCGGCAGCGGCGGCAGGGCCAGCGGCCAGCAGCTAAAAGAGCATCGAAATCCACTCGAGCAGGGTTCTGCCAGTTACCGTCTGGCGTAGACGAGACCTTCCAGTGCTCAGCGCTCTTCTTTCTGTGCTACAACTTCACGGCGCTGTGAACCCCCTCGTGGGCCCAGCAAGTGTAGCTAACAGGATCACCTTAGATCTGGACAGATTCAATGGGCATTCCCGAAACAGGTACTGACATTGCAGTGCGTCTTACACTGTGGATATTACTAAGTGAGTCATCAGGCACAAGAGGTGGAGGGCAACATGATTGCGTGGGCCATCCCAGCATCCTCTGCGTGTCCGGATCATGTTGTCGCATGCGATCCATGTATGGGTCCACTGGCACGTAGTAGCTGCGTAATGACGGCGGGAGCCCTGCATCGCACGTGTGGTCCAAGCTGTATTTTTGTCGCAAACATAGCTCGTTTTCGCATGTCAACGCATGACACCTGTTGGTCGGCGCAAACTGTTGGCGGAGTCTAACCACAACGCCCGTTGTGTGCGCCTGAACAAACTCTGCGGGTTCGTGCTGCGTTCCTCGAAGACGACTCGGTGGGGCAGATGCGGCATGAGTCGGTGCCTGGGGGGCGGACAATCAAAAAGCCACTGGGACTTTCCCCGAGCTTCTTGGACAAAGGCCCCCCCCAGGACATCCCAGAGCCCTATAGTATATACTTTGGAATAAGCCGCGCTCCTGACCCCTATTTCGTCGACCCCTTCGAGCGCCAGATGACCATGAGGATGACAACAGAACGAGCTTTGTCTTCTGGCCTGAAGGGCATCTCCAAGGGAGGCACGCGGGCGTCCTGGACGCCGCTCCCGAGGCACTCTGATGGATAAGGCGCTTAGAGACCCCGGCTGCCTCATGGGATCTTTCGTTTCTCCGATATACCAAGAACTAAGCGCCTCGGGGGGGCTCCAAGGTTCAGCAGGGCGCCCCACCACGCGTGGTAAGGAAGGCCTCCTGCACACAATGGCAAACTCGAGCGCGGTTCGAAGCAGGCGGTTTCCTAGCGCCAGTTTTCGGACTCCGTTAGGGAACAAATAGAAGGCCCCAGAAAACTGAAGCAAGCCTCAAAGGTCTCGGAGGTCTAGTACGGGGCCCCTGGGCTCCCTGCGGGGCTTCGCGGAACCTCGAAATGGGCCGCGCATTGCAAGGAGGCCCTGCCGGGACTCCTGCGACGCGACCTGACTTGGCCAAGCGCCTCCACGGCAAGACTGAGCTGCCGCTGGTGAGATCGCCCCGGACTGCGCCATTCATTGAGGCGACGCTAAAAAGCAAAGGTGCTCGCCGGAGCGCGAAGCGCCGCATGCTATATTCGAGCTTGAAAGTCGCCCTGTCGTCGGGCACCTGAGAAAAGACGCGACGCGTGCATCTGAGGGCGACGGGCGCTCGCCGCGGCGGGTGCGCAGGTGGCGGCGGCGGGGGCGGCGCCTCTACTGGGCCGAGCATGCCTGGCATCGGTGGCCCGTGGCCTACCGTGGCAACTGGTGGCCCATAGGCCCTCGGAGGAGGGGCCGAGGCATGGTGGCCCTGCTCGCCTGCTCTGCGATGTGCTGCCGCCTGGGCCCCAACCAGGCCCACGCGGCACTGCGCTTCCGTAGCTTGGGCAAAGCAGAGACCAGAGCTAAACCGAGCACGCCCGCATCTTTCAGCATGGGCAAGATGTCTGCGCAAACGACCTGGGGAACGGAGTTCGCGGCAGCAAATCGGACATTCGGTTCCGGGCACAAAATTATTGGGGGCATTTGGCAGGGAATGAAATTCCCCCCTGCGAACATCAAGCCCCCTCAAAGTAGCAGAAACGCCGGTGCAGCCGGGGCATTAAAACATGCAGGAACGGGCCCAGTCATCTTGCCAAGTGGGGATACCTTAGCATGGTCACCAAATTTCAAGTGTCCAAGTGGTATCTATCCTGCCAATGCCGCATTGCGTTAGTGGCCACTCCCTTCAGAGAAAATCTGAAGCTCTTAGTCCATGGCTTAATGATGCGGATCCAGCTGGGCAGCCCTGCATCCCGAGGCCTTTCCGATGGTCCAGGGAAAGAGCAATGCCGTGCAACGTCGGCCTCGGCGAGGCTCGGCCACCCTTGGATAGGCCCACTTACGCACTGGAGGCACGCGCACAAGATGTCGGGACATCCCGTCAGCACTCTAGTTAGCAACGCAAGCCTCGCAACCGAGAGGATGACATCGAGCGGAAGTCTTGAGACTTCGCCGAGCATCTCAAAGTAGGAAACTCTCTCTTCACCATCGTTTGAGACTGGCAGATGAAGTGCTGCGCGATAAACCTGCTCGCCGGCGGCAACGCGTAACTTACTCCGTAGACTGTTCGAGAAGGCTAGACGCGTATAATCGTCATTCCAAGCGGACAGAGCTAGCTAGACACTCGGAGCAAACCACTTGTTGTTGATGCTGAGCATGTTCCTGGGACCTACGACCTTCACATTGGGTGCAAGGGCCGACTTGGCCCCTTGGCCACGCGCTACAATCTCAGTGGGCACATCATTAGTGGGTGAGAGCAACGATCACAAAGCGCGGCGATCAGAAACAATGTTGGCCCGAAGATCCCAGACTTCAGACCGCGCTGAAGTGCGCGGCAGTCCTTGCTCGCCCAGGCAGGCCGACGCGGGGCCTTTTCCATGGGGAGCCATTACAAAACGTGTTCGTAGCATCTGGGGCCAGTCCTCTCATGGGACGCGCGGGAAACTGCGACGAGCACCCTTCGAGCTGTCGGCATCAATTGGCACTCTCGGCTGCAAATGGTTCCGCGAGATCATCAACGAAAGGAGTGCCCCAAGAGCGAGTGTCAAGCTGTGGTTCTTGCACGAAATGACAGATCCCCTGTGGGGCTGCCGAGGCCGCCAAGAAAATCCGGAATGTCGCGTAGCTCTCGATTGATGTCAACATGCGCCCCTCGGAAAACAAGATTTAAGATGTCTGTCGGGAAGACAGTGCCTGGCCTTGCCCCTCTCCGAATGGGCGCATGATGCGATGCAGACCGCGCTCTCTAAAAAACTCATGAACGATTTTCTTGATGAGAATTAGTGGGTGCTGGCTGGGAACCCGATGTCCGGGTTTTAGGCCCTCGCAAAGGACGGATGGAAGGTCCATATGTCTTAGCGCGCACTCTAAATCCTCCTGGTCTTCGGAAAGAGAGAGGACCAACTGCCAAGGGGTAGTGTAAACATCGTTTGTCCGATGCCAAAGTAAAGCGACTGCTGAGATTCCCTATTTCTCTGCGAGCTGAAACAAAAGACGAGTGGTTAGGACTGCAATAGCACAACCCCTCCCAAGCAGCCCCCCCCCCCCGCCCCACCCCACCCACCCACCCACCCACCCACGCACACACGCGCACACACACACACGCACACACACACACACACCTGAACGGAGGAGGCCGCCCCATAGAAGCGCCAGCGCAAGGCTGCGCAATTGCGGCGCGCGTTAGTCAGAACAGGGGAAACCAAGATGCTCCGTCTCGAGGCGGCCCGAATGAAATCTCCAGACCCCCTGGGGAGAGCCCCGGGCCATGCCGATTTAAAAGCCAAGGGTTCTCTTGCCATGAACGCCGTTCTTGCCAAGATACGATTGATGGGTCTGGCTATCTCTTTGGCTGCGACCTTGTCAATCTCTGAACGATAATCACCGGTCCTTGGAATCATGCCCGTCTCCAATCGAAATAAGGCCTGCCTCAACATCATATACTCTGAGTATCTCATCTAACCCCCGAGGGATCGACCGACAAAAGCCTTGAACACTGATTGTACTCATCTGCTACTGCCTGGGGTGAGGCTTGTCGCCCCATTTCGACATCTGAGAAGTGCCTATGCAAATGGTCTGCCACGCCTACGTAGTCTCGTAGTACCTGACCTTGCGGTGTCCTGGTCGTCGGAAGTGGTGGCGGTCCCTGCTTCGGCCTTGCTGGGCGACCCCCCACAGAGCAACAACTTCTTAACGGATCTCCAATGAGCTGCAGGCTGATCGGGCAACGTCTAAGACGAATTGCAAAACCTTCTTCGGTTGGACCGACAAAAAACAACAGAGCCACAAACAACCCCTCAATGCTGAGCATGGCTCGAATTCTTTTTGCGGCTGCACCCTCAAGGGCCCAACGCTGAGCTATCCAAGGCCCGTGGTCACAGCTGTCCAGCAGCCTTCTCAAAGCGCCGTCGATGATTATGAAAGCCAGTGAAGAAAGCCTGCGCTCACATTCGTCTGATCCTTTGCTTTGCTAGGACCTGGCAGGTTTCAGTGCTCCCCTCCGAAGACGAATCAAACACCACCGCGTCGTTATCAGAATAAGGAGGGCGGGCCCGCAGGGGCTTCTTGGCAAAGGCGGTGGCAAAGTCATCAATTGATGTCAGCGAGTACCTCCACAACGTGACTAGACGAGGCTAGTTCTCATTCGCGTTGCGGAATGGATTTCAGGAGATCTACGAAGGTCTGAACATCTCCTGGATCACTTAGCCTCTGCATGTCTATGGGCTTTGATGGGAGAAGTGGATACCGCCTTTGTTCCCACTCGAGCGTTGTCTTGGCTGGGTTGTGGTCTTTGCCTGCCATCCCATTGTCAAAAGCGTGAAGTACCTCCGCTTCTTTGGCAACATCCCTCAAAAACTTCGAACACCCAACGTAGTCAATCCTGTGATTCCCCCCGTGGACACGTACAGGTGAAATCATGGCCCTGAGAAAGCTGAGTGTTTAAAAGGTGGGTGTCTGACATCGCACAAACATAGTGGAGGCGATTACCACGTGTGTCTTCTTGTCGAACAAAACTGTGCCTGTGAGACTCAATCCGAAGTGTGAGAGCCAACTCTTCCATTGACATCAACTATAATTAAGTCAGGACTCCTGGCGGCAACCTGATGCGCAGCATCAAACCAGAACTCGTTAGTTATATATGCATCAAGTTTGCAGTGAGGAACATGTCCAACCAGCACAGTCAAACATAACGCTGGGGCACCGATACATGCAAAAAGCATGTGTGGGGTGAAGTGCAAAACCCGGGCATGCCGTTTTTGAAAAGTCCGTCCCAACTTTATTGGCACACAGAACGTCAAGGTTGATCCAAAATCTCAACGCCCAAACCAGTGGTGCCACCAAGACCCGAACCTCCTCCTCCTCCTCCTCCTCCTCTTCCTCCTTCCTCCCTCCTCCCTCCTCCCTCCTCCTCTCTCCTCCTCCTCCTCCTCCTTCGCCTGTTCTTCCTCCTCCTCCTCCTCATTTTCCTCCTTCTCCTCCTCCTTCTCCTACTCCCGCTCTCTTCTCCTCTCCTCTTCTCTTCTCTCCTCTCCTCTCTTCTTTCCTCCTCGCCCTGTAGGACGTTGGGGCCAGCGCCTTGGGCAGAGGGGCAGAGGCGAGCGGCGGCGCTCGCCCCAAGAGGGGGGGGGGATCGCCGAGGGGGTGGTTGGCTCTCGGGCCAGGACGCCGCCCCCGGCCCCGCCCATGCCGAGCCCGGGGAGTGATCCCGCACGCCCGTCGACTGCTTGCCTGCCAGTCCACAGGGCGCGCTAGGGTTTTAAGTCGCGCCTGCCCCTCTACAGGAGGAATGCCCAAAATAGTGAATAAGAATATGGGAACGATTCTTGACTATTATTTGGCTATCTGGGGATATTTGTTGGGATACTTTTTTGTCCAAAATCTGCCGGTAGGGGGGAAGGCCCGACCTAACGCTAGGGACGGGATTCCCCCGTGTTCCTCCTGTCCACGGCGGGGACTGGGGACTTTCTTGTCCCCCCTCCCCCCCCCTGTCCGCATGGAGTACCAGCCCAGGGGTGGGTGGGGGAGAGTAGATGGACAAAATATTCGAACCCTTAAACATTCGAGGGAGATTCTAAATCACCCCCGCGCCTCCGACATCAATGTTGATCTCAGTAAAGGTGGTGCTTTGGGGTTCGAGTATTTCTGTCCCCTCAAGCCCCCCCCGTCGCCACGCCATCCATACTAATTTCGGGGGGTCTGGGGGGTACCTTGGGCCACAGGGTTCGAATACACTGTCCACGCACGGCAGACAGGCCAACATGTGGGAGGAGCTTCCCCCTTCGATCTCGTGCCTCCCAGAAGCCTCGAGCTCGCTGGTGCCGCGGCAGTGTCTGCCTGTGCCCCCCACCCCCCCCCGTCTCCTTCCGCCACGATCGCGTGGCACCTAGCTGCACAGCGCGGCGACGCTGTTGAGCGAGCGAACGCGTCTCTCCCCCCCACGATTCCCCCCCCCCCTTCTGCATTACCCCCCTTTTGCTGCGTCTCTCTCGCTCTCTCTTTCTCTGCCTTTCGCCGCTTCACCCCCTCCCCCCTCCCCTCCTCCTCCTCCTCCTCCTCCTCCTCCTCCTCCTCCTCCTGCTCCTACTG